AAAAGATAATATTTAATTGAGGCTGGCTTACAGTTCAGAGGTTTAGTCCGTTATCACAGCAGGCAGCATGGTGCTGGAGAAGGAGCTGAGAGTTCTCCATCCAGATCCTCAGGCAGCAGAAAGAGAGAGTGACCCTGGGCCTGGCTTGGCTTTCTGAAACACCAGAGCCCACCGCCAGGGACACACTTCCTCCAGCAAAGCCACACCTCCCAACAGTGCCGGTCCCTATGAGCCTATCGGAGCCATTTTCATTTAAACCACATTTTGTAAGGGCTGTTTACCGCTAATTATAAAGTTGAGCAGATAAAACAGCTAATAGACTTGTTGGCTCTTAGAGCAACTCTACATTTAACTAAAGAAGTGTTGCTATCACAGTGTTAGTGCCATTTGTTGCTTCACCCAGCACAGCGGGAGGGCTCAGTCTGACTTGGTCTACTGGGGGAGGCTCTCCTCATGGAGTTCTTGCTTCTGCTCTCCCTTGTTTCTGAGTGGCTGAAGGATGAGTGTTCCTGTAAATGCCTCCTAGGTGCATGGGAGCAAGCAGGCACATCTTTTGGGTCTGGGGAGATGGAGCCAACCTGTTTCTCTAGCCTTTGACCTCACAACTTACTGAGAGGGTTTGAGAATCTTAGAGCCATAATTGAGAAGACCCCCACTCCTTTCTCTTTAAGCTTTTTGACCAGGAGTAGAGAAATTCTCCCCATGTTTAAAAGTTTGCACTTTGTGTTCTTATGGGGTCATCTGCTGTGGGTTTAAAAAGAGAGACTTTAAAGCCCCGAGAAGAGCAGGGAGAGCTCAGGAATATGAGCCACCAATGACCTTGGTCCATGGGATGCCACTGGTGAGATAAAGCCGCAGCACCTGCCACTCTTTAGAGGTGACCCCACCCCATTTCTTGCCAGTTCCAGGGCTGAGATGGGGAGACAGGAAGTTTACCTCAGGGTTCACTTCATGTTAAGTGTAGCAAGGCTTGCTACTTGACTGTTGCAATTTTGTACTCTGTAACCTTCAGAGAAGTGGGGTTCCTGTCCTCTGCTCAGCAAAGCGCCAGCTGGAACCTAGCCATGCAGGCTACTCACCCTTGATTGCAGAAGTCTCACATAGCTGCCATTGTCAGCCCCCAGTCACTCGCTTGATGCCTGTGCCATGCAACTCAGAGTAGCATAAGGGTTTTGTGAACATCTTCACTTGTGTTTTTTAATTTAAAGATTATTAGTATTTTATGTGCATGTGCCTGAGTTTATGTATGTGCACCACATGGATGTATGTACCTACAGAGGCTATAAGAGGGCATGAGAGTCCCTGAGCTAGAGCTACAGGGGTTGTGAGCCTTCTGAGGTGAGTGTTGGGAATCAAACCTGGGTCCTCTGTAAGAGGAGGAAGTGCTTAAGAGTTGATCCATCTTTAGCCCCTAGCATCTTCACATGTTCACAGGCTTCCAGATTGAGCACTCCTGGGCTTGGGCAAGCTACACTCTGTAACCTACTTGCGGTATTTATAGCAGTGATATTGACCTTGGCTGTATAAAAGCCTCCCTTTTGCCCATTGTGGTGGTGTACCCTTTAATCACAGAACCAGGGAAGTGGAGGCAGGTGGATCTCTGTGAGTTTGAGGCTGGCCTAGTCTACATGGTCCTAACTGTACTGGAACCCACTGTGTGTGTGTTTCTTGTGTTTTTGATTTTTCCTTTCTTTTTTTTTAAATTCTTGTTTATTTATTTAATTTGCCTGTTTGTTTTCTAGAGAGAGAAAGAAGTGGAGTTATATTACAAGGAGCAGGGCCCCTTGTCTGTCTTGGCCACCTGGCTAGCTTACATCCGAAATAACCACACAAAAACTGTATTCATTAAAACAGTGCTTGACCCATTAGCTCTAGTTTCTTATTGGCTAATTCTTACATCTTAATTTAACCCATTTCTATTAATCTGTGTATCGCCACGTGACTGTGGCTTACGGGCAAGATTCTAACCAGCATCTGTCTCAGGCAGAAGATCCATGGTGGCTCTCACTCTGCCCTTCTTCCCAGCATTCAGTTCTGTCTTCTCTGCCTGCCTAAGTTCTGCCCTATCAGACCCAAAGCAGTTTCTTTATTCATTAACCAGTGAAAGAGACACATAAACAGAAGGACCTCCTACACCAGAGTTAGATGAGTAAGGAAGTGGGGATGTGGGAGGAGATGAGGGTGGGAAAACCATGATCAGAATATGTTTTCTAGAAAAATAAAAATGAAAAAAACCTTGCTTTAGTAAGGGGAAGATTGAGGGCACCAGAAGGGAAGCATTGAGAGTCAGCTGGAAATTTCAGGCCACACAGTCGAGTCTCGAACATCCCTGGCCTACAGCAGCACCCAGTCCTCCAGGGGTTCCTCTTTCAGTGGTGCTCGCTGAGGTGTCTTTGTAAGGCTGACTTAGGGTGGCGACAGGGATGTGTGAGATGGAGTCCTTGCTCTCGAAGGATTGGTAGTTAGGTGGTGGGGCAGCCGAGATGTGCAGGCAAGTAGATGCTGTGTATAAATATGGTGGTGTTAGAAATGACAAATGATAAAGGCAGGCTATTCTTTTATCCGGCACTTTTGCTTCTCTCTCTTCCTTACTCCCTTCCAAGAGTGGCTTTGTCACCCGGGTAGTGATTATCATCTAGCTGGCAGGGTGCTTTTTTGGGGGGTTAGACAGGGTTTCTCTGTGTAACAACTCTGGCTATCCTGGAACTCACTTCATAGACCAGGCTGGCCTTGAATTCACAGAGATCCTCCTGCCTCTGCTGAGTGCTGGGATTAAAGGCATGTGCCACCACCGCCCTGACTTAGTTGGGACTCTTCTTAAGAAGAGTCTTCTCTTAAGACTGAAATTTGTTCTTTATTCCCCTCCCTCCCCTCTACCCCGACCATCCCTCTTGTTATTCCCCTCCCTCCCCTCTACCCCAACCATCCCTCTTGTTATTCCCCTCCCTCCTCTCTACCCTAACCATCCCTCTTGTTTATTCTTCTCCCTCATCTATCCCCCATTATCCTTTTTGTCCTTTAGACCCTGGCCTTGGCTATATATATTACCTGTGTACCCTCACTGGCTTTCCTGGCTGGAACATTTATGATGAAAGATGGGATGCCAAGAGGAGGTTCATCCAGAGGAGTCTCAAGGTCCTGGATTTAATTGATCACCATCTCGGCCATCTCTCATTATTCCCTGGCTGCACTGCAGTTCCTCTCATACTGGGAGATTGGGCAAAGGCCAAGGGCCAGCTGCTGCAGAAGAGACAGAACGAATTCTCCAGGGATGTCCCCTCCACTGTCCCAGGGTTATCTTAAGTTGCCGTTCTCTGCAGAAAAGAACTTCAGGATGCGCCTTGTGCATTAGACACTAAAGTTCTGAAACTGCTGAATAAAGGCAGGTTCCTTTTCTCTTATACTCCCCGTAGTGTGGGCTGCTGTTGCCGCCAGAGATCTAAGGCCTGGGTTGGCCTGGGTGTACACTCTGCCCCCACAGTTCAACAGTTAAACAGTTTAAGCTGCGTCCCTTCTCTGAACTTGGAGTGGGGTAACAGAACCTCTTGGAGTCACGACAAGGAGTAAGAGATAAGTCACCACATGTCACATAGGGCTTTGCACAAAGCAGACTCTCGCTAAATGGTCACTGTCATTACTTTATTCTTAGCAGGAGGCAATAGCAGAATCTCAGAAATGTGGCAGCTGGAGGGCTGAGACATTACTAACATGGGCTTCAGTTGGAAGGTGCAATGGTGACCTAAAAACAATGAGAACCTGACCTTTGATGGGCTGCATGAAACCCAAAACCCCGGGAACTCTTTTATTGAGATACGTGTACGCAAGTGAAGGTTGATCTTGATCTTAGAACATCCAAGCTCTCGGAGATACAGAATTTGGAGCTTTCAGTTGAATCATTTGGGATCACTAAGGGGACTTTACAGAAGTGTGGCAGCTCACTGACTCTTGTTCAGAAATATGTTTGAGCGTGCATGCGTGCATGTTTGTGCATGTTCCTGCTGATGGCACCCAGGGTCCTGAGTGTGCTAGGCAAACACTCTACTGCTGAGCTGTCTGTGAAATCTTCGACTCACTGGTGTAAGTGGTGAAGGAAGGAAGTGTTCACAGCTCCACCACAAAGCTCCGGGGCAACGGATGCTGGAATGTTAGCCCAGTCCCCCAGTGGCCAGGACAGACTCACACCAAAGCCCAGGCCCCAGAGAGCCAGGCCCCTGCAGTGTCAGAAACTCCAGATTTGAAAGGATTAATCTGTCCACTGTGGAAATGCTTAATTTCTTTTCTTAAGACATTTTTGGAAGGATTTCTGCTTTTTTAATCTCCTGACTTCTTGTTTGTGACCAAGTTCAAATTCCAGGGAGAAGCAGCCAATATGTGTGATTAGTTCCTCTTGTACTAAAAGTGGAACTAAAAGAATGAACTTACGTCACAAGAAATAAATGTCCCCTTTGGGCGTAAGCGAAAATGAGTGTGCACAGTCACCGTTTGTGCAGTAATTAAACACTAGCGTGAGAAAGATGCCAGCAAATCATTCATCATGTTTTTTTTTAACATAAAGCCAAAAAAAAAAGAAGAAGAAGAAAAGAATCTTTAAAAAGACTTTCCTCTTTGCTGTCCCTTGCGTGGGATGCTGCTGTCACCAGAGATCTAAGGCCTGTGTTGGCCTGGGTGTGAATTCTGCCCCCACAGTTCAACAGTCACACGGTTTAAGCTGCGTCCCTTCTCTGAACTGGGAGTGGGGTAACAGAACCTCTCAGAGTCACGACAAGGAGTAAGAGATAAGTCACCACATGTCATAGGGTTTTGCACAAAGCAGGCTCTTGCTAAATGGTTACTGTCATTACTTTATTTTTAGGAGGAGGAAGTAGAAGATTCTTAGGGACATGAGAGTTGGAGGACTGAATACATTGTACAGAAGACATTGTCTTGTTTCCCAAAATAGCTGGGTGGGGGACCTGAGGGAGCTGTGTGGACCATTGCATCACCGTTGTTGTGCTCCGTAGGTGACCTCTTCAGTGCCGTGGACTTCCCATTCCTGTCTTTCTACAGATTCCACAGCAGCTTCTGTGCCAGGTAATCTTAAGCCACATCACATGTTTTCTGTGCTGTTAGCTGTATCTTTATCTCTGTGCAGGCCAGCATAATATGGTGAGCCAACTGAGTTGTGAAAGGAGGCACTCTGGGAAGCAACTCTCTGTCTCCAGCAGGCTGAACACTCACATGTGTTCAGTGCCAGCCTGAGTCCTGCAGACCTTGGCTGTGCAGGCCTGTGCCTCAGCCAGGACTGTGGTTTTTCAAGCTTGCCGAAGAGCTGGGCTTCCCACCCTTCCCCTCCACAACTACCTCACACAGAACCTCAGTGCATAAAACTAACAAAATTGATTCAGTTCAAGGGATGTTTGTGTTTTCTCCATTTTGATCTTGGCTTTTTTCTTGCTGCCGGAGCCAACCTACAAAAACCGTCAGTGGAACTCCAGGACTCAGAAGTACATGGTAGAAATCGGAAATTAGTAGAAGTCTAGACACCAAGCTGGCTTTGGGAAGGACTCAAGGATGGAGACCAAGTTCTTCATTGTCATCCTGCCCCACCATTTCTAGATAAAGTCTTGAGTGGTGAGGGGTGGGGAGGCTCTAGGCACAGTCTCAAGCTTCCATTTTGCCATGAGGGAAAGAGGAGACCTGGGCCAACCCCGGGGCTGGTGGTTGCTAGGTTGCCAGTTGTGTGGCCTCTGGGCAGATTATCTGATCCTCCCAAGTTTTTGTCTTTTCATCTGTGACAAAGAACAGTAATATCAATATTGTGTGATAAGTTCCTAAACATCATACTTGGCCCAGGTAATGGGGGCCATTATCAATATCTGCTCAGGTCAGCTGTAAGAAAAATCTCAAAACTGTTGATGTGAATCCTGGCCCTGCCGAGGATCTTATGCAGGATTTTAACTTGTCTTTACTCTTCCAGGGAGAAACTTTTTTTGTTTTATAGGCTTTTATACAAATCAATAGAGGTGTATGCTTTGGACAGTGCCTGTGCATGGTACATGCTCAGTGCTGTCATTAGTCAAGAAAAACAAACATAACGAAATTCTCAACCATGAATAAAAACCACGCTATCCATCTCCACACAGAAAGTGATACCCATGGAGCCATCTTTGCAGATCGGTAAGGAGTTGAGATGTAGAGACTGGAGAGCTGACTCGGCCATTGGGAGCATTTGTTGCAGAGGCCAGGGATCAATTCCCAGTGTCTTACAACCATCTGTAACTCTAGTCCCAAGGTGCACATGAATACATGGAGGCAAAACACCCATACATATAAAATAATAAAACAAATACGTTTTTCTTTTAAGTTGAGGTGTAGCTATGTATTGCTTCTGGAATGAGTATGCCACGTTCCTCAGGTGTTTTGAGGAAATGGGGTAATGTTATAGGCTCTCCAAATTTGAGCCTTGGAAAGACTTTCTTTCTCACCCTGGAAAGCTTCAGGGAACCAGCAGTGCTATGAACTCCCCAGCTCTCGTCAGCCTGACTAGCCGTGAACTTGCCCATGAGCAGAGCTTCTGCAAGGGAACTCTTGCTGCCCGGGCACCTGAAATTGGTGTCCTTGAGTGTGACTCTTTGGTAGTGTGGGCAGGTGGGCTCTGGGGCGTGGTCTGTACTGGTTTAGTTACTGGAACAGAAGCGTTTTCACAGCTCACTGGCATTGGCTGTGTGGGGACACGCTCTGGCTGTGTCTGGTCCTATACCGTCCACAGCTTTCTCCCAACTCAATATGTTAGATCAGGTCCTTTTATTTTAAGAGCTGTTGATCTTTGCTTGAATTGTCTTAACTATCTTTTTACCCATCTGCCTTCACTGTAAGGCTGACCTTTTTAAAAATGTGTACTATTTCCCCACATCATTTCAATTGTTCCTCCATGGCTATTTCTCAGGGTAGGAGTGTTACCTTCAGGATGTCCTGGAAAAGCTCAGAGGGGGATCATGCTTACCTCAGGGGAAGGAGGTAGCCATGATTAGAGACCCCTGAAACAGATCTTTCTCTCTCCTGGGGTCTTTCACTTTAGAGATCCCCTGTTTTTCAGAGGGATAGTCCTCATATCAAAGGGGTAGAAGACTGAACAGATGAACGGAGGATAGAGATAAAGTAGCCACAGTTCAGAAATTGTTTACAAACTAGCAAGCCAAGCAATGGGAGGGGAGCACTGGGTATTTCTCTCCACAGCAGAGACAAGCTCATCCTAGTCAGGTCTGTACGGAGGGAACAGGCTATGCTCATGCCCTTCATCTGGAGTTGGAGGGGGAGGGCAAAACCCAAGGATACAAGGAGGTTTGGGAGATTGGCCACACCTGGGATTTGGTTCCTGGCTGCTGGGGTGGAAGCTACCAAGAGGATAACTCAGAACACTGGCTGTCTTTCTGTGTTCCTCTTCTCTCAGGGCCATGCACCCTAGAACATCCCGCTCCAACTCTTTGATGACTGCTTTAGACTTTGGTGCTGTGACAGGTGTCTAAGAGAAATATTCAAATATCAAAATATCTTTTTTGGCTTGTGGCTCACGTGTCTGCCCCAGGTTGTCTGGTTCCCTCACTTTGAGCCTGAGGAAGGCTGATCCTGTTATGCCCTGCTGTGGTGGTGATGTAGGAGTCATAGAACTGACAATAGAGGGTTTTCTAAAAGATTAGCTTAAGAGACATTAAATCACACAATGTAGAATTTAGCTAAGGGAATACTGCCCCTGAGGCTCCCCAGGCCCGTTAGAGGTAGGCAGGCCTCACCATGCTAGGATGAAGTGTTTGTTTGTCACGGCTGGCCACTATCATGCCTCCCCAGCAGCTCAAAGGGGTAGTGCAGGGTTCCGGCTACCGGTAAGTCCCCGTGTCCGTCAGTAAGGTCCTTGTGCCCTACTGCATAGTTTACCTGGTGGATAAGATGACCAGGTATAACAACTACTCACAGGGAAAAAAAACACAGCTGGCGTACTTAACAATTATGGCTTTCTTTGCTGTGTAAATGTCCCATCTGCCCATTTGCCAGACTTGCAGTCTCCTGTGTGTTTAAATTATTCAAAGTGTAACCTGGGGCTGGGACCTAAAATGCATAAGCCTGGAGTGCATATGAGTTAGTAAAACCTGTTTGAGACTGGCTGTCCCTTGAGCAGTAGCTGTAGCTGGCCGTGTGCGTGTGTGTGTGCGTGTGCGCGTGTGCATGTGTGCGTGTGCGTGTGTGCGTGTGCATGTGCGTGTGCGTGTGTGCGTGTGCATGTGCGTGTGCGTGTGTGCGTGTGTGCGTGTGCGTGTGTGTGTGTGTGTGTGTGAGAGAGAGAGAGAGAGAGAGAGAGAAGATTTTCCTCTCTTAAACTCTAAGTGGGCAGTTTTTCTCTGGGAAGGCATATTAATTCCTTAACGGTGGCAGGATACAGTAGAAGAGGTGTTTGCCTCCTGAAGCAGAGAAGTGAGATCAGAAAGGAAGGACTGGGAGAATGGACCTGCTTCAGAGATGTACCTCCAGGGGCGCACTTCTGATCAGGCCCCACCTCCTGATGTTTCCATTATCTCTCAAAAAATGCCTTCAAATGATGATTCCATAAATGAACTAATCCAAAGTCAGAGACCTCATGATGCAACCACGTCCCCAAAGTCCCTCCCCTAACAGTATTTACATCTGTGATGGAGCAATGCTTAATACCGAAACCATGACAGTGCCCACTTACGTACTTTCTGTCGTTACAGCCAGGTTTCTGAGCCTCTCTCAACTGCCAATGAAATACTCCCATCTCTATGTAGAAAAGTAGAAGTTGTGGTCTCTAAACTGTTGTTTTTATCCGGGGTATTAGAAAACACAGCTGTGATGGAGGTTGTGAGATGCTTAGAAAGTGGACATTGATGGGGTGCGAGCTGTAGTCACAGCCCCTGGGGAGGAAGGAGAGGGAGGGAGAGCTCCAGGCCAGCATGTGGAGGAGAGCCTGGCTCGAGGGTGGAGGTAGCTGAAGGAAGGCCGCCTCACTAACAAGGGTGTTTTCTTCTTTCAGCGGAGTTTTAGGATTCTTTCTCATGCTCAGCACAGTAAAGCTGAAAAGCATTCTGGCCCCAGGGCAGTGCGCAGCCTGGATTTTCTTTGCTAAGGTAAGAGAGAGGGGCTGGGAAGGTCTGCCTCAGAAGCCCGTGTGTGAAGTGGGACCTTCAGGAACCCATTTTTAGTGACTTGTACCTGGCGATAATTTCTGAGACCTTTCACCTATTTTATCAGCAAACCCTCACCACATTCCTAAAAGGTGATAGAGAGACTCCCACGAGCCTTCGAGACTAGGACTGTTACCAGAGTAGCTTTTGTGTATCACAGTGACCAGGGCTGACTGACTGAGAGAGAGGTAGGTAGGCTGTGAAGGCTCAGGAGAAGAAGGCAACTGTGTAAGCACCATGGCAACAGAGATGCTCTCCCTCCCCTTCTGTCTGAAGAACGCAGACAGTTCTTAGGGGCTTAGGACCTGCTTGTAGGGAGTGGGACTCCATCTAACTAAGTTAGTTATTGGAGCTCGTGTCTTCAGTCATCTATATTTTTTTTCGTTGCTTTTGTTTTCTCTGGAAATGAGATTGCAGAGTGGAGATGTCACCTACACACATGGCCTGCCTTTAACAGTATTTATTGTTCTTGGTAGAATGGGGGGGCTGCCTGAGATCTTAAGCACGGGCGAGGGAGGAAGTTGACAGAGTCTCGAAAACAAGCTGAAAGCTGGGATAACATTGTCCAAAGTCTCCATTTTCATGCTCCAAAAACTGACTAAAAGCACACAAGAAACCAGAAGTGTTTGTTCTTGGTAGGGACGGAGTGAATTCACAGTGTTCTTGCCTGCCGCTGCCCCACTCCACCAGCGTGATGGGGAAGCCAGGGCAGGCTGTAAGGAGCCATGAAAATTAGCTTCACTCCTTCTAGAGGTCACACCCTCTGTTTGGGGCATTGTTCATTCAGGTGGCCATTTTGGTCAGAAGTGAACAGGAGAAGCTAGTAGTTCTATTGTCTAGAGTTTGTAGGCCTCACTGGAGAGCTGTGGAGTGCTCTTGCTGCTGACCTACGTAGTTTTGGACGTAAGAGCCTTGTGAGCTCTGTAGCCCGCCATCCATCTCACACCGAATGCTTCTGTATCTAGGAACACACAGAGGTGGAGCAGACTCAGACATGCCCACACATCCCTGGCCGAAAGAGTCAGAGGAAGGTACAAGCCAAGGCAGACAGGAAACGTGCCTGAGGTTCAAACGTCCTCTCTAGCTGCGTAGAAGCAGAGACAAGATCTTCTGGCTCATGGTATCTGAACAAAAGCCTCTGGCTGGTCCTTGCCAGGACACCAGTTACACTTGCGTGAAGAATAAGAACATTAGGACATCAGTGCTGCACTTTTTTTAAATATTTATTTATTTATTATGTATACAATATTTTGTCTGTGTGTCTGTCTGCAGGCCAGAAGAGGGCATCAGATATCAGATCAGATGGTTGTGAGCCACCATGTGGTTTCTGGGAATTGAACTCAGGACCCTTGGAAGAGCAGGCAATGCTCTTAACCTCTGAGCCATCTCTCCAGCCCAGTGCTGCACTTTTGTGCGAGGCAGATTTCACACTTGGTTTAGGAAGATCACTGAACAAGCAAAACAAGCAACTGCAGTAATAAGATGTGGGAAAAGTCAGAGTTTAGAGTTGCTACCACATATTACCTAAAAAGCACAATATTCAACCAAAAAATTAAAGCCATTTAGAGAAGCCGAGTATGGCCTGTGGGAAAAGTCAGTGGGAACTGGCCTATCTGGCTTCAGAGCAGAGTTAGCTCAGAACATTGCAAAGTGACCCCTTCAGGATACTCAGGGTGGGACGTCAGCCGTGTGAAATCAGAGGGAAGATCCAGGAATTCAGAAGTTAGTCACAGAGAATTAGGAAATAACCCGTTGAACATACACTGAAGTGAGATTTCTGTAGAGGGACTCAACAGATTTGGATGATAGAAAAAGCGAACTGTGAAAGAGAGAAGAAGGCATCATTTAATACAAAGAAAAAAATTCCAGCATTCCAGAGACCTGTGAGACATCACACGTACCGGCTTATGTATAAAAGCCATCTTGGGAAAGGAAGAGTCAGGGGCAGAAAAGTATTTAGGTGAATAATGGATGAAACTTCCAGATCTTATGAAAGACAAAAATTCAGTAAGTCCTGAAAACAAACAAAACCAGAATGTTACCTAAACAAATTATAATCAGACTGTTAAAAGACAAAGAGAAAATGCTAAACGTATTGAGGAAAAAGGATTCAGCACACATGGAAGAAATCAGTGCAATTAATGAAACATAGCAAACAAGCCTCCAAACAAAAACCTGGAGGCCAGAGGCAGCAAGAGGAGGCCACATTCAACATGCTAAAAGAAAAAAAGACATATGCTACCAGGGACTTAATACATAGCAAAACTGTCCATCAGATACGACAGAAGTAAAGACATTTCCGAATAAATAAAGACGGAGAGATGTGTTGCCAGTGGCAATATCAGTAATTATAGTAAATGTTAATAGACTGAATATTCCTTTTAAAGGGATGGAAAGATGGCTCAGAGGTTGGGAACTCTGCCTACTCTTGCAAGGACACAGGTTTGATTCCCAGCATCCACATGGTGGCTCACAACCACCTGTAAGTGAAGTTCCAGGGGATCTGGCACCCTCCCCTGGCCTTTGTGGACACCATGAATAAATGTGGTGCTTAAACATACTTGCAGGCAAAGCACTCAAACACATATATAAAAAAAAAGAATGAATATTTAAAAAAATACTCCATTCAAAAGGCAGAGGTTGTCAGATTGTATTTTTAAAAGGCAAGATCCAACTGCATAGTTTCCAGAAGAGACACACCTTGGATCAAGGATACTAGAAGACTGTCTTTGAGAATGAGGCAGAGCCAGAATCCTCATAGACATTTATGCAGGTACTTTGGAAAACACCTCAATACTTTCTATCAGGCAAACTTACAACCATGCAGGACCTCTATGCCCAAAAAATGTTCAAGAGGAATGAAAATGCACACCCACCCAAAACCCCATACTTTGGTGTTTATGGTCACATTAATAAATAACACCAAAACATGTAAAGAATGTAGATGTGAGTTTCTTAGTGGATGAATAAATAAGATATCAGATATATGTAGTAGAATGCTACTAAAGAGTAACAAGAAATGAGCTATTAATATATGCTATAATACAGATGACTCTTAGAAGAATTCTGCTAACTGGAAAAACATAGTCACAAAGTAATACATATATTATTCCTGTTGTATAAAATATCAGAAAATGCAAATTTATGCACATATAATATATTGATGGTTTTTCATGGAGCAGAAATTTATTGCATATAGGTTTAAAGAAGTTGTAGTTTGTGGGATGGAAATGAGCTAAAGCTACATTGTAGTGATGATTGCATAATCACATAATAACTTAATAAATTTGCTTACTAAAAATCATCACATTGGGACTGGAGAGCTGGCTCAGTGGTTAAGAGAACTGTCTGCTCTCCCAGAGGACCTGAGTTCGATTCCCAGCACCCACATGGCACCTTATAACCATCTGTAACTCCAATTCTACAGAATCTGACACTTTCACATAGACATATGTACAGGCGAAAAATTGATGTGCATAAAATAAATAAATCTTTAAAAACTATTTAAAAGTCATCACATTAAAAAAAAGCCACACCTTTCATTTTGATTCTGGGTTTTGTAGCTTGTAAACCATCCTTAAGGACTGTAGAACAAGGCATTCATTCTGACTTTTACGATGTGATGGAGTTTATCTATGTATGGTTTCACCTATTTGACCACTGGTCTCTGAGAATTTCCTTTGCTTTTATTTTTCACAACTTGAAAGGAAGTTTATAACTTTTCCCCCAATTCTGGGGGAAAAACAATTTTTAATTTATTCTTGTGGTTTGATGCTAATCCTTAAGTGTAGAGGATTAGATTAGGTGAACCATCAAGGTTCTTGGCAGCTTCAGTACATCAGATAATCTCTCTCTTTCTCTCCCTCTTCAGTACATTTGTTACCCACCCCCAACACACATCTTTTCTATCACATGTGAGTTCTGTATTCTTAGTGGCCAAGTATACCCACCCCCTGGACCAGCTGCATGTCCAAATGCGCTGGCATTTGTAACATACTACAACAGTGCTTGGTGAGACAGCATTGCCTGGTGATGTCATCGTGACCGCATCGGTGCCAGTGTTTTCAGAAAGTGACCCAGAAGGCTGGCCCCATGGTGCTAGAGGAGAATTTGGATCCCTCAAAAGACTTGTAGACCCAGGCTGAGATGCCTTGTTCCTGGCTCCAAAATAGTATTCTTTCTTTACCATTGTTCAAGGGTTGTCATATCAGCAATCATTTGCATGCTTGCTTTCTTCCTCCCTTTCTCTCTCTCTCTCTCTCTTTCTCTCTCTTTTTCTTTCTTTTCTTCTTGAGATAGGGTCTCATTGTGTATCCCTAACTGGTCTGGAGCTCCTTGTGTAAATAGGCTGGCCTCACACTCACAGAACAGCCTGCTTCTGCTCTTGAGTGTTAGGATTAAGGGTATCAGCACCATGCCTGGCTTCAGTAATATTTCCATCATGATTATCATTTTTCTCTCTTGGAATCTGAGAAGTACTTTAAGATCCAGAAAGCATTATAATGCTTAGCAACCTTTGGAAAAAGAAAAGTCTCTTCTCTTAGTGAACTTGAGCATGTGAAATCTAAAGCATGGGCACAGTCTGAGCTCCTTTCTCACTGGGAGTACAAGGACTGAACCAGAAAACGTGAATGGATTCAAGAGAACAGTGTGACAGTGACGTGTGGGTGTGTAAGGAGGGCACAGCCTGAGTTGCCACTCTTAGTGGGGTTTTCCAGCTGATTAAACCCTGTGTGAGAATTCCTCCCAGTCTGGGTAGTGCCTTATCTCATGCTTTTCATTTCAGACTGCTTGGGTTCTCAGTTGTTGGAAAGAAGCAGCCGAGGTTGGAGTGAATTCTTAGTGATGCTGAGCCAGGAAAGGCGAGGCATCCCCAGAGGCAGCAGCGCTCGCTGCCCTTTCAAAGCCAGCTTTGTCTAATACTGGGCTCCCCAGGAGCTAAC